TATAAATGCAAGTTGTTGTTGTTGAAATATTTCAAAGCACTTTCCAGGTAATTTCGGCCAAGTGTAGTTTTTGTGTTTACTAAAACAATTAATGTGATTGGCAAATTAATGAAGAGAGTTGATATTGATATCAACTGCTTTCTCTTTTTCAAACGTGACACACAGGATCTCTAATGTCCACCTGAAGTATAGGCAGAGGTGAACTTCATAAAAAAAAGTGCCCACAACACCAGAGATCTCACTCCCTGATCTTACCTTTGTAACAAGTGAACCAATGTGTTTGATTGCAGTAGTCACCAAACCACAGGCCATTGGTCATAGCAACACATATCCTGAAACCTGGGTACCTATTCATCTCCTTATCTCTCCAGTGGGCGAAGCTGAACCTGTCTCCATTTATCCACTTCCACCCATCAACAGTTTGATTAATATTGTACAGCCCGATCCAGAGAGGCATATCTCCATCAAACAGCTTAGAAATAAGGCTATGCTCTTCCGGGCTTCCAATACTGATAAGATCAGTGTGATAATTCTGACAGTAATCCCGGGCTTCAGTCCAGTTTTTTTGTTGGTCGATCCGATAATATTCTCTATCTACTGGTTTTGAGCTTGGCCAAAGATCTATCAAAAGAGAAACACAGAAAATATGCCTAAACTCCAGTGCTCCCAGGAGAACAGATTTAAGATTATTGTCCTTATCTGTGTGTTGTTTTGGTTAGTTGGTAAAATCCAGTCGGAAGCCCCATCACCATGGTTATGAGATTCCAAACCAAGCTCTGAATTTCATGCATCTCAACTACACATGGAAATCCCAGAGATAGATTGTTGGAATGGAATATGCACTCTCTCCCTGAATGGAAGCATCCTGCTTACCTAATTCTGGAAAGTATTAGGCACAGTTAGGCAAGAGCCAAGGCTTGTGGTGTGTGCATTGGTGGTAAATCCTGGAGTCTAACCGGCTAAAGTTACATAGCTTGCCATTGCTGATGCTGTCTGGCAAGCTTTTCCACTGTTTGTCCAACTCGGACTATGGCTTACAGGGTTAACAATGTTCAAATCACTTCATGTTTTGGTCCCTTTCAGTCCATGCAATCACTGCCAACCCATTCCCCTCCTCATGCCCTACATCTTTTCTGGTTATAGTCTATTGGTTATTTTTTAAACTTTCAGTGGTGCCCATCCAGCTGGGCATCTCACTCCCTGGTCTTACCATTGTAGCAAGTGAAAGGGTAAGTTTTGTTGCAGTAATCACTAAACCACTGGCCATTTCTCACAGCAACACAGATCACAGAATCCAGAAGACCAGTTGGTTCTTCATCTTTCCAGTGGGTATAATTGAACTCATCCCCATTTATCCATCTCCACCCGGTAATGGATCCCTTACTGTTGTATAGCCCGATCCAGAGAGGTATGTCTTCATTAAACATCTGCGATGTGAGCCTGTGCTCTTCCAAGCTCCGAATGCTGATAAGATCTGTGTAATAGATGCGGCAGTAATCGTGGGCTTCAGTCCAGTTTTTCCTTTGTTCAATCCGGTAATACTTTCTGTCCATGATCAGATCTGGTGAGAGATCACAGCATGAAATAGTTTCAGGCTCCACTGCAACAACAACAACAAATTACATTTATAGAGCACCTTTCACATTGAGAGGAACTTATTTAACTTATTTAAATAAACATAACTTATTTAACCAAGCAGATCAACATTAAGATGCATGTCCTCACATTGAATTGACTTCACTGTTTCTTTCATTAGCTATATAACCTCGTGAATTTTAATCTCTTGCTCATACACCCGTATACATCTAATTCTGGTCAATTACCAGATCATCATTACCTCAATCCTGAGCCTTGTTGTGAGGCACTGCCCAGCCCATGCCCAGCCCTATATCAAGTTCCTTGATGAGCTCATCTTAAATGGAAGCAACTACCACAATAACAAAAGCTTGCATCTATATAGAACCCTCACACAGGGTAGTGCCCCAGAGTTCTTTCTACTACTCAAATTATTCATCAAATTCCTCAGATAAAATGAACTGTCATCTGTAATGTTGAGAAGATCCCCCCCCGCCCAGCTCCACCACCACCAAAAAAATGGGATTAATTTGGATAGCTCTTTCAAGACCAGGCATGATGGTCCGAATGGCCTCCTTCTGTGATGTATGATTCTATGATTCTGTGATTCGATGAAGAACATTTGTGCTTGAGAAAGCATTAGCCAGTTGCAACTATTGGTTCAGCGATTCTATTCTGCTCTGCACCTGTCTATACGACATTCTACATTTCACTCACAAATATGCAGTCAATTCACTTTATGGTATATTCTGAGAAATGCTTTGTAAAGTCTCAAAGTCGCAATAAGGCTCTTTATCAAATGCAAGGCTTATTATTATTACAATACAAATTGCTAGCTTGGAATTATGTTTTGTTTTAAACAATAACCTTAAAGTCTTTTATTCTAAAATATCTAAACAGCTGCAGTCATTTTCACATGGAACTGGGTCCCCATTTTGAATTTTAGAAATATTTATCGTGCCATATTACATACAGATATAAAGGGCAGAGAATTTGCATTAGCATCCAGGATACTGCTCCCATGGTAACAGCAAAGACTTGATGAGCTAAATAGCTTCCTTCTGTTTGGCAAGTGCTATAACTGGTAAAAGAGAAGCCTGTCACTCTGTGCATCACATGCCTGTGTCTTACCTTTGTAGCAAGTGAAATGATAAGTTTGTTTGCAGTAGTTATCAAACCACAGATCATTGCTCATAGCAACACAGATCACAGAAGACACAGAAACATTTGGCTCTTCTTTCCAGTGAGTGTAATTGAATGTGTCTCCATTTGTCCATTTCCACCAGGCGTTGGACCCATTATTATAGTACAGCCCAATCCAAAGAGGGGTGTCGGGGTGAAACACCTGTGATGTGAACCTGTGCTCCTCTGGATTCCGGATGCTGATGATATCATTGTGGTGATTGCGGCAGTAATCCCGAGCTTCAGTCCAGTTTTTCTGCTTGTTGATGTGTAGATATTCTCTGTCCTGGGGTCTAGCAGGTTGAGGCACATCTGAGGAAGTAAAATAATAATAATCATTTACTACTTGAATAATAATAAAGAAAGGAAGTTCATATATTGTTTATATGTGGTTCTCCCCCAGAGTACACAGTCACTACACTTTGCAGTAGAATCTGTCAAGCGATTTGAGACATCTTGATGATGTAATAAGGTATTATACCAAATGCAATGAACATTGTATTATTATATTACAACTCATTATCAAATTGAAAAACTTATCAAAGCAACAATCAAGACAGTAGATTTTTTTCCAAGAGCAATTGTCACGCTTGTTTATTGAGCCTCATAAACCAATAACTTTGAAAGGGGAACAGAGTGAATATTTGGAGAAGTAATGTTCTCATGGATAGATAGCAGGGAATTTGGTCTAAGTGGCATTGCAATAGGCTTGATAGCTTGAATCTGTAGTTGAGATGATTTGAGAAAGGGAACCACTCGTCATGATAAACGTCTCACTCCCTGATCTTACCTTGGTAGCAAGCGAACCAATAAGTTTGATTGCAGTTGACATTAAACCACACGCCACTGTTCATAGCAACACAGATCTCTGAATCCGGGTGAACACTCAGCCCATTATCTTTCCAGTGTGCGTAACTGAACTTGTCTTCATTTATCCACTTCCACCCGGCTGTGGTGTGGTTACTGTTGTAAAGCCCAATCCAGATAGGTTCATCTCCATCGAACATTTTAGATATGGTCTTCTGCTCCTCAGCACTCTGAATGCTGATCAGATCCATGTAGTGACTGCGGCAGTAATCCCGGGCTTCAATCCAGTTTTTACGTTGGTCTATCCAATAATAATCTCTGTTTGCTGGTATTGTGGTTAGGGCAGAGCTGGTGAGTGTAGGAGACAACAGAAAATAGGTACAAGTTCCAATGACATCCACTTCGTAATTCATTCTCGCCCTAATGTCTACATGCTATATTAAATCCACAGGTTTTCAACCATTCTTCATCCTATTCTTTCTACCTCACTTATTCACCCCTCAGAATATTCCTTAAAATTCTACCTCTTCAATTGTCTTTTGTTCCAAATCATTGAATTTCCCTTGGCCTATACAGCTCCCTCAATTTCAGCTTCACTATGAAAGTGGATTCTGTTGATGATGACAGATAGTGACAAGACGGCAGCCATCTGTGGACTCTAGAAATACGTTCTTACCTGATAAATTTTTGCTTTGAGAGTTTGGAGGTATCACTGGTGTGGGCAGAGATTTTTCTTTTGGAGGAAGTTTTGTGGGTTGTGGAGATAATTGCTTAAGAACTGTTGAAGCCAGAAAGAGACATGATATAACTTATTATTAGACTGACATTTTGTTTTGGGTGCACTGAACAGGTCAAACCAAAACAAACCAAACACAGCCTGTGTCACTGGAGGTATTGTCAGGGACTTTGGAACTGTTTTAGGCAGAGATGAAAGATTTTGCTAAAAGATGGTAATTGCGTGGTAAAGTAAATTATGCCAAAAGAATTTGGGTGATTTAGAGAAATCAAGCATATTATCTAGAGATTTTAATGACAGTGATTTTAGTGTTTTTTTATTGATATGGAAGAAAGAGTGGGCACAAGAACTGGTACCAGAACAGATTCAATGAGCAGACAGGAGGGAGAAAAGTATTAATAATAATCCTTGCATTTTTTATCGCGCCTTATCACTTCTTACAGATGTCTCAAAGTGCTTCACAATATATACAGTAAAGTGAATTGACTATATATTTTTGGATGAAAACGCAGTAGCCAATTCGGCTCAGCTAAGTCACACAAACTATTGTGGATTGAGGGATCAATTTACAATTTTTTCATTATTTTATTTTTGAAGAAATTAGTACCACGGGCAAAGCGATCCGCCAATCAACTAACAACCTGGTTCCTACTTACTGTTGGGTAAGCAGAGGCATGTGGAGTAAGGAAAACTTGCCCAATGTTTCTCCCTGCCGGGAATTGAACCCAGGTCCTCTCACTTGGAAGGTGAGTGCTCTAAACACTGAGCTACAGGACTCCGTCTGACAGAACATGTTTGCATGACAGAAGTGCCAGTCATGCTAACATCAGACTCCCCAATTTTACCTTTGTAGCACATAAATCGGTATGTATGATTGCAGTAATCATCGAACCACATGCCATTTCTCACAGCCACACAGATCATGGCACCTCGGTAACCATTAGGCTCCTTCTCTTTCCAGTGTGTATAATTGACCTTGTCTCCATTGATCCACTTCCAACCTGTTTCAGAGCGGTTATTATTATATAGCCCGATCCACAAAGCAACATCTCTGACAAACATCGAAGTGAAGACCTTCTGCTCCTCTGAGTTCCGGATGCTGACGAGATCTGTGTGCTGTTTGCGGCAGTAATCCCGTGCTTCAGACCAGCTTTTCCTTTGGTCAATCAGGTGATACCCTCTGTCAGGGGGATTCGTTTCTGGAGAGAGAAGGTAACAAGTAAGATGTCCAAATCCACTTACTCCCATTATCCAATAGGACTGATTCATTTCAAATTACTTTAAGACCTCATATATCAATGCAAGTACTTATTAATTCTGAGTGAGAGACACTATAATAATCCCTCCGAAAAAACAAAACAATAATTAATTGGTGATTTTCAATCCACGACTGTTTGTGGGACACTACTCTGCGCAATTGGCTGCTGCATGTCAAAAACATGTTCTTGTGTTCTACAGAGTACCCCCATCCTAGCAGTTACGTGCACATGTCCTACCCCAAACTATATATTGTATCCCAATACATTATTTAGTAACAGAAATCTATCTGACTTATTCTTGACAGAATCAATGCTTTCCTTTCTGATCTTACCTTTGTAACAAGCGAACCTGTAAGTTTGATTGCAGTAGTTATCAAACCACTGATCATTTCTCATAGCGACGCAGATCACAGATCCTAATGGAGCATTTGGTTCCTTGTTTTTCCAGTGTGTGTAGATGAAATCATCTCCATTTATCCACTCCCACATAGTTGTAGTGCGGTTATTGTTGTACAGCCCAAGCCAGAGTGGTGTATCTTTACTGAATAGTTGAGTTACATACATATTCTCCTCTGTGCTCCGAATACTGACAATATCCGTGTAGTAAGTTGTACAGTAACTCCTGGCTTCAGCCCATCTTTTTCTTTTTTCGATCTGGTAATACTCTCTTTTCAGGTCATTGATGGCCAGAGATGAATCTTGTAAGAGAAGATTACTTTAGTAAATCGTTTCAGCTCCATAAGGTCCCAGTACCCCCAATACGATTGATTTTGAAATAATTATTCTTATTTTTAAATCCCTTCATGTCTCGCCCTCTCCCAACTTATCCAATCTCCCCTGCAATCTTCACCCCGCATGGGTGAAGAGTGCTTTATAAATACAAGTTGTTGTAGAGTAGTATTATATTGCGAAGCACCCATATCGTTCATCTCACCTGACCACTGATGGTGGTTGAGCAAATATTCAACCACCATCAAACAATCAGCAAAAATCCCCTCACTTCCTCTTGCCCTACTTTTAAATGTTTCTTCAAATTATCTGTTGTCATTGTCTTGAACAGCACCATCTAAACTTCCCTTCTTGCCCTCTATCATATCTGCAAACTGCTTTGAGACATTCATCTAGCATAAAAGGTATTACAGAAAGACCATCTATTGGTGTGGCTGATAGAGACACATAGGAATGACGAAGACCCAATAAGGATGTCTTGGACACGAGAGATATCATTTTACCTGTTACATCATTATGTGGAGAGAGGAGATATTTTGAAGGTGATGGTGAGGAATCTTCTGTTGCAGGGAAAGATTTAGATGTGGGAAATAATTGCAATACCATCTTTGTGTTTGAAGATTTCGGAAGATCTATGAAGACAGAAGAACAAAAACATATGGTTTAATTGAAGTGAGATTCCCATCACCCAGAAACTTCTTTTATTTTCTCAATTCTGTCAGCTAGTCCATTCACCTGCACCGAAAATATAATGACTGAGAAAGAGTGAACAAAAGAGAGAAAGAAAGAAAGATAGGTAAAATAAAAGGAGGAAACCTAGAAAACATGAAATAAATAGAAAAACGAATAGTAAAAGAAGAAAAGTATTTGGTAGCATCAAAATGAAATCCATGCACCAAAGAGCTTCCACCTATAATATGACACCAGAAATGTAGGTATTACACATTACAAATCACAAGCCCTGATCTTAATTAGGTAACAACACTTATGGAAAGTTTGATTGCAGTAATCATCAAAACAAAGACCATTTCTCAAAGCCACAGACAACGAGGTGCCTGGATCAATTTTGGCTCCTTGTCTTTCCAATATGCAGGTTTGAACTCCTCTCCATTTATCTACTTCTACGTTGTTTTTGTGGAGCTGTGATTGCTGTACAGCCCAATACAAAGAGAAGTATCTTTGTCAGATAGCTGATGTACAAGTCTGCTCGAATCCTCTCGGTTCCTTACACTGATAAGATATTATAACTGCGACAATATATGTGCACTTTAGCCCAGTTGTACCTTAGATTAATCCGGTGATGTTCTCTGCCCATGGATTCAGTTTTTGTTATACAATTGTTGGTTGGTACAAATAGGGTGATTTATTGATTATGAGAAATATGCTCTTACCTTCTTCAAAATTGGTTTTGGAGATGGAAAGCTGAAAGGGCGTGCTTGGCGTTTCTTCTGTTGTAAAAAGGATTCTGGGCTGTGGCAAATCTTCAACTACGAGTGAACCACTTGGAGTCGAAGATTTCTGAATGTCTGTGGAAATAGAAGAAACATCACACACAGTTTTTGACCTAATGCCATTTGTTTTTCACTTGCTTAATTACACTAAACTTCCAATTGCCATGTAGACTCACACTCAGTGTTAGAAGATAGAAATCATAGCCACAAGTGTATGTGGAGGATAAGACCTCATCAAGATTTCAAAGGCAATTCGATAAGAGTAATAATAATCCTTGCATTTGATATCTTGCCTGATCACATTGTTGAGAGTCTCAAAGTGCTTCACAAGAATATGCTGTAAAGTGCAATGACTGTCTATTTTTTGGGTTCTACGTGGGAGCCAATTGCGCGCACCAATTTCCCACAAACAGTCGTGGAGTGAGTGACCAAATTATAATTTTTTTTTGGAGGACAAGTATTTGAGAGGAACGAGTGAAAGGGTTTCAGCATAGGGTCACATAACCTCAACTGGATTGGAAGAGCTGGCAACAGATTAAACTGAATAAGCTGAATGGCCGAATAGCCTTTGTATGTACCAGAACCATTGCTTTAAAAACATAAATGCCCTCCGGATTCCGTTGTACTTCCTGATCTTACCTTGGTAGCACATGAACACGTAGGTTTGATTGCAGCAAGTGTTGCCATTATCGACAATAATGAAACAAAAAAGAGTGCTTTATGTGGAAATATTAGATATTTCCTTTAGGCCGTCGCATCAACCAATGTAAAGAAGAAGCTATGTGCAGTATTTGCATAGATAGAGAGGTTTGAGAAAAAGAGGGATTTAAGCTATTTGCACACATCTGAGAATCAAGATAGTGAACATTTCTGCCAAGGTCTTATTTCTGGCCTCAATGCCAGAATTGACCTAAAATTAATAGAAACACTCATACAGTATATTTACTGTATGGACCTTCTTCATGCAAGCCAATCTTGAGATATTGTGAATTTCTTCCTAACAGAGTAACTTGCTACCTGCTGTGGAATTATTCTGAGAGACTGGAGAGTTCAAAGTTGCAGGTGGAGGTGTTTCTGTTGCGACAATGATTGGGGCTTGTGGAGACTGGGATGGAGTCAAAGGCACTTGAATATCTGTGGAGACAGAAGGAACATCACATATCGCTATTGATATATATATAATATTAAGCTTTTATAGCCTGCTCATATCAAATTCGCATTGAGGCCGGAAATAAGACCTTGGCAGAAATGTTCACTATCTTAATTCTCAGATATGTGCAAATAGCTTAAATCCCTCTTTTTCTCAAACGTCTCTATTTATGCAAATACTGCCTATAGCTTCTTCTTTACATTGGCTTATGTGACGGCCTAAAGGAAATATCTTCCAGAGCTCGTTACGTATATGTCTCTTTGATCACATTTAAAACCATCATAAAAGACAGGTTGCCAAGAAGGATGATTGATGCCAGATCACTGGGACTCATTTTGAAAACAGTTTGATTGTGTAATGGTAAGATGGTAGGTTGGATATCCTGGATGAATAAGCTCGAATGGAGAATCACTTTATCAGCTGCATTCAATCAATCAATATTCCTCAATGAAAAGAGCTACACATCGAATTGTACAATTATGCTGCACAGAAGGAGGCCAATCAGCCCATTATGTCTTTCCCAACTTTTTGAAAAGAGCTACACAAATCAATCCGACTCCCCCGTGTTCTCCCCATAGCCCTGCAAACTTGTCCTCCCCAAATAATTATCTACTTCTCTCTTAAGAGAGAAAGGCTTCCACCAGCCTTTCAGGCAATGCATTCCAAGAACTCGCTTGTGAAAAAAATTCTCCTCACCTTCCCTCTGTTTCTTTTACCGACCCACCCGCCAGTGGGAATAGTTTTTCCTTGTTCACCCTATCTAATCCCCTTATAGTTTTGAAAACTTCTATTAAGTCTCCTCCTAACCTTCTTTGCTCCAAGGAGAATAATCCTAGCTTCTCTAACCTCTCCTGATAACTGAAGCCCTCAATCCTGGTACCATCCTGGTCAATCTCATTTGCACCTTCTCCAATGCCTTGAATCCTTCCCAAAGTGTGGGGCTCAGAACTGAACCCAGTCTCTAGCTGAGGCCTAATCAGTGTTTATATAAAGGTTTATCATAACTTCCTGACCTATTTATAAAGCCTCGTATCCCGGATGCTTTTTTTAACAGCTTTATCTACCTATCCGGCCACCTTCAAAGATTTCCTTATATGAACCCCAGGTCTCTCTATTCCTTCACCCCCTTTAAGATTGTACCATCAGCTTATATTGCCTCTCCTCATTCTTCCTCTCAAAATGCATCA